CGAACTCAAAAAGAAACCACAAACAATTGACTCATTCATTCACATCACTCAGTATGATCGTCGCCTAGTGGTGCTGCCTCTGCTTGATTGCTCAAGTTCCTTTTTTCGTTTCCTTTTTTGTGTCTTGGGCCGTTGTTTGTCCCGAGCTTTTGTGGGGCACCACAGCTCCTCCTGCGATGGACAAAGAAGGATTTCAATATTGGCGACAATCCAAAGTACCACTCCAAGAAATATTTTGTCGCCTCCATTGATATCGTAATCTGAAGCGGGAATAGTATTTGGAAGGGGAAAAAAAGGCTGCTTCGGCTGATTGGTGGGATGACGATGACATATTTGTATTCAAAAAGGAGCATATGGTGTTGATCGTTGTCATGAGGATGAGGATGATGATAATGTCGTTTGCTGGGTGTATGTGATGATGATCATCCATTCATTGAGTAAATATATATATTATACATCAGCATGGTGACGAATGGCATTTAGATGAATTCATCGCCTCCATTCATCGCCTCCATTCATCGCCTCCATTCATCTCCTCCCACTTTCAACTCGTGATTGCAATACTGACTCATTGGCTGAATGTTGCTGGAATCAATTCATATATATGAATATACGAATGGTATGAATATACGAGTGGAATCCCTACTTACTTCTGTCGCATTGCGGTTCGTGCTGCATCCACCCATCAAACTACCGTAGTACCGTAATGATGAAGAATATGGGATCGCTGGAGAGGAGTATCTTCAAAATCAGATGATTGATTGATTGATTGATTGGTGGATTGATTGATTGATTGATTTAGTTTATCCTCCTGGTACTGGTACTGCACCCTGTATATTGTTGATGAACTGCTTAGCTTTGCGTGCGTGGTTCATACTCGTATCTTCAATATTCCAAATGCTGCATGCAGTATTTGATTGCACGCGCGTGCCCGTCATCAAAGTCATTCTGGCACCTGACTGTACTGTAGGGTTTGCGTAGTGCATGGTACACGTGTACATGCCAGAGTCATTGTTTTATCGTCGATCGTCAGTCATCTATCCTCATCATCATCACTGACTCACTCATTACACAGCAGTACAGTATATTACACAATAATAGTACAGTATAATGGACGACTCAGACAGTGGCAGTGACAGTGGCAGTGGCAGTGGCAGTGACTATAGCAGTGCCAGAGATGAAAGTAGTTTCGAACATGTCGAATTTGTGTACGATAGTGAAGACAAAGAAATCACAGAAGAAATCAAACGAACCATGACAAAGTTGATTGTGCGCGGGCCTAATGTAAAGACTATTAAAGAGGGAGTCTTCAAGGAATGTGCAAAGCTAAAGGAAATTGATTTCACCGAGGCAACTGCGTTGGAAACGATTGGAGATGAAGCCTTTCGGAAGTGTCCTAGTCTCCTTGCTTTCAAGTGCCCATCCAATGTCAAGACGATTGGAAAGGACGCCTTTTATGAATGTGCAAAGCTAAAGGAAATTGATTTCACCGAGGCAACTGCGTTGGAAACGATTGGAGGATGGGCCTTTTTCTATTGTTCTAGTCTGCTTGCTTTCAAGTGCCCATCCAATGTCAAGACGATTAAAGAGCAGGCCTTTCTACGTTGTAAAAAGCTAAAGGAATTTGATTTCACCAAGGCAACTGCGTTGGAAACGATTGAAGAATGGGCCTTTAGCGACTGTCCTAGTCTTGAAAACGTCTACTTTGCTCCCAACGTGACAGTGGTCGGAAAGAGCATCCTCAAAGACTGCCCAAAGCTCCAATCTTTGAAGATTCCCAGTGGCAATCCAGCGATTCATATTCGATTGTACACATCACTCAATGAAGATCAAAAGCATTTGATCACCTTGAATGACATAGTGAATGTCTATGCTTGCAATCCAATCAAGAATTCCGAATTGCTGGAGAACTCGGGGGAAGAAAAATCGATTCTTCACCAAGTGAGAGAAAAGTATATTGGTTCCATTGTCGATGGTACACGTCGTTTGCTTTCGATTCCGGAGCGCAATGGGTGGTTGCAATTCTTGGCGAACAATATGGGCGACGGAACGGATGACCCAGACATGAGCAAGTTATTGGACTATCTTGAAACTGTGGATATCGAAAGAGTCCGACAGCTTGCCGAAACCAAGGATCAATCAGAGCGCACTGCAAAGTCGGTGGCATCCAAACACATCCAAGAAGTGTTTGAAGACCGATTGTTCTTTCTCGGCCGCTACGATATTGCAAGAGGACCACCCATTCACCAGTCGGCAACTTGTGTTGTGGTCAAGGCAACGGATGCCAAGATGAGGGAGTACTTTGAAGCAGAGTATAAACCATATGAAGGAAGAGAAGTAGACGAGGAATTGTTCCAGGAGATATTGGGCAAGTTGAAGTTGATCCCACACGACAAGGAAAACATCAAGGGTCTCTTCCAACGGGCAGATGTTGACCGAACGAAAAAGATTTCCAAAGAAGAGTTTGTGGACTTTTGCTTGGCCGAAATTGGTGGCAATGTGGTTCTAAAGCTGATGCAGAACAAGGATCAGTTTTGCCGAGAGGTGGAGCGTCGGGAACAGAATAAACTGGACTCGAAATATGTGGTTGGTAGTATTGGAAAGCATGATTTGGTCCATTCATCAGGAAAGGATACCGCCAACCAGACATTTCGGGAGAAGGTGGGTGTTTCGGCAGAGAATTACAGCAATGTCCTGGTGATGCCTTATGGAGATCGGAATTTGGACACTATCTTTCGAAGTGAACGTCCTACACCAATTACGGTTCGCAATTTGATGAAGCAAGTGGGAGAGGCCTTGCAGCATTTGCATAAGATGAAAATCATTCATGGTGACATCAAAATGTTGAATGTGGTGAGAATCACTCATCTACTGGAGCTGATTGATTTGGATGCATCGACGAAAAATGGTGATTCTGCTGGATCCAAGTTTTCTTCTGGCGTACTTCCACCAGAGATGACATATAAGCTGAACACTCGAGAAGAGTTGGAAATGTATGAGCGGTATGTCCAGAATGGAACAGCAAGCGATGATGAGAAGCAAAAACGAAAGGTCTTGGTCACAACTGGGCAAGACAAGCAATACTTTGTCGTTCGTTCGTTTTGGGAGGAGGAGCAGGAAGTGGAATTATGGGACGATTTCAATAAGGTGTACAAGATCAAGAAAAAGCTAATGCCAATGAACATGAATGGGCTGCCGTATGGGCTTGTGAAGGCTGATGCCAGTCTGGATGTATGGTCGTTTGGTGTGCTGTTGTTCGAGCTGGTGACAAAGGAGCCTTTGTTCAAGGTGAACAATGAGAACGATATCACAGACGGTGACGTGATGAGACAGCTACACAATTGGACTGATGAAGACATGAAGATCATATTGAATCGCAAGGTAACGGATAAGTATGCCCGTGAGGTGCTGCAGCACATGCTTTGCCGTGAACCGACAGATCGGTGGACGATGGAAAAACTGCTAGAGCTCGATTACTTCAAACCGGAACAGGTGCAAGCAGCGAATGAATTAATGAAACGAATTGAGACAACGACTGCACGAACTGAGACAACAGTTGCACGTACTGAGACCATAGCTGCACGGACTGAGACCATAGCTTTGGAGAATCGAGAAATCATTAAAACAAATTTTGATCAAATACACAAAGCACTAAAGAGTGTCCTGAGCCATCAAAAAGTCGCCAATTCTC